CACACACACACACACACACACACACACACACACACACACACACACACCGGCATCACAACGACTTGACGAATAACAATTTACATGTGTTTTTGCAAGGGCACTCTGTGCTATTCCATTTATCGTGTAAGAACGCTATGCCTAGAATAGTTCAATTTGTTACCTTGCTAGAGCAATGCGATGGGATTCCAATGTGAATTCTCTGATGATTTCTTGTGTGGATAAGTTCAATTTCCATGTCGACCATACAAGTTATTCTAGCGACATTCAATATACACATAGATTTATACATATATATCGGTGCGCTATTGCACCATCACATGACAATATTGTGAAATTCCTCATCTATACACAAACATTTGTTTCATTTCACAGGACAAAATATTCGCAAGCTGATTAAGGATGGTCTCATCATTAAGAAGCCCGTTGTTGTACACTCCAGATATCGTGTGCGTAAAAATACGGAAGCTCGCCGAAAGGGTCGTCACTGTGGTTTCGGTAAGCGCAAGGGTACAGCCAATGCACGTATGCCAACCAAATTCTTGTGGATGCAACGTCAACGTGTATTGCGTCGCCTGTTGAAGAAATACCGTGACAGCAAGAAAATCGATCGTCATTTGTACCACGATTTGTACATGAAGTGCAAGGGTAATGTATTCAAGAACAAGCGTATCTTGATGGAATACATTCACAAAAAGAAGGCTGAGAAGCAACGTACAAAGATGTTGAACGATCAAGCCGAAGCCAGACGTCAAAAGGTACGTGAAGCACGTAAACGACGTGAAGAACGTATTGCCACCAAAAAACAAGAGCTCCAAGCAATCCACGCTGAAGAGGATAAATCGGCTGCAGCTGCCGCTGCCAAAAATTAATTCATCTCCACCGGATTAATTGATTGATTGATTGATTCATTTAATAAACAAAAACTTATAATTTTATCGATATGAAATGCGTCAAATAAAAAGTATTTCATTCGTAAAATGAAAACATCATTTGCGTTGGTTTTGTTCTTTGTTGTTACTGATGTTGTTTCTATTGTTGAGCGAATCTCATTTTAAGCCCATCGATTGAAATGAAATTGCGAATGGTTTGTATTTGTTCATCGCATTTATTATTACATAGCAATGAAGAAAGTTTCATTCCTTATCTTTATCGCTTGAAACTTTTACTGCGATGTTCCTTTCAATTCATTCCGTTTAAACCATCAACACACCGTCGAACTAAACCTCAATTTTCTGTGTTCTTGTAACAAAATTTATTAATTTATCATTTTCTTTCCGTCTATTTTGCATTTGAAAAGCGGAACAAATCAAGGATAGCCCCGCTGATTGATTTCCCGAACTAATTCGAAACGATTTGGGGCAAAATTTGATTTTATATTGGAACATCTCGAGTCAATTATTGGAATTTCTTAGCTTTTCGTTTGATAACTTGAATCGTTCGATGAGTTTTTAATAGATATTTCCCTAAAGGTGGTAGATATTGCATAATACCGTGCTACATTATTGATGGGGCTGGGATGAATTGATAGTACTACCATGATCGAGAGTAGCTGAATTTGATTATAATAAAAGCGCGTCTTGAATGTATAAATCCAATCGATCTCGCGGATTCCGGCTCATTTTCGATTCATGCCAGTAGACATATTTGTTTGTTATCTACTTGCGCACTCAATTCACGCCTGTCCATCCATCTTATTTCATTGTGAGAAGGAATATTCACATGCAATCATGTTGAAAAATGAATTAATTAACGATTTTTTGTTTTTACTCTTCAGTTAGCCGACGAAATGATGAATGGTGCCAAGATTGAAAATAGTTGCTTGATACAATGCATCCTGCAATAATGTGAGATGAAACAAAAATATACCATTCCCTATGCAGAACAATTAGTAATTTTTAGTTTAGAATCCTTTGAATAACGACGAATTTTATACTCGGCGAATCAGAATAATGAGTGGTGTTTTGACACGGGTAGAAACACCCATGTTCAGGACCAGCAGAGAAAGGGCACTACCATTCAGCTCATTACCAATGCTAATGACATTGGCCCATGTCAGTATAAGAATATGAATATGAATATGAATAGATTTTATTTTCTAGAAAGCAATAAAATGTCAAAAATATTCCTTCAATATAAAGATGTAAACGATTTTTCGCGAAAATTCGTTCGTTCGTTTGCGAATTTAACGAAAACGAACGAAAATGAAAGAAAAAAAAATTTCTCGAACAAAAACAAACGAAAAGTTTGATATTGTTATTCGAACGCGAACGAAAACGAAAATTGAATTTTCTCTGCGAAACGAAAACGAACAAAATTAACGAAAAAACCAATGAAAAAAACGAAAAACAATCGTTTTTTTGGCATTAAAAAAGCGATAATCAATTCAATTTTGTTTAAAAACCGTTTCTTTCAACATTATCATGTATTTTGTGTTTGTTCTTTTTTGTTTTGTTCTCGTTTTTATTTTTTGTCCTCTCAATTTTTATTCGCGAACAAAACACGCACACACTAAATCAAAATCATATGAAATAAACAACATTTGAAAAAATCAAAATGATTTTGTGTCCATTTGTAATTTTAAATGTTCAATTATTATGCCTACAGCATTGTATTTTCAAGTCGATTCATTATTCCTCCAATGGATATTATCCATGCATTTGTATAAAATAGTGAAAACGAAGAGGCCAGTCTCTTACTTCTTATCAGCTTCACTAAAACGAAGTGGGAAAATTTCGCGATTTTCGCGGAACTGATAAGACATAACTTATCTCAGATAACCAATATTTGTTGCAACAAAATTATAGCAAACCTCGAGTATTACAACTTTGCTTCAGACACTAATTTGTAATCTCTTATCACGGTCCAGATTTCATATGAAGTATCTTGCGGCCCTGTAGTCCCCCAAGAACAGAAATAGGTAAAAAGTATGATGAACAGTCATAGTGTTAACCCTAGTCCACACTCCTTTTCTAAAACCTCATTCCACACCCCTGAGGTCTGGCCAGACCCGTATGCATTTACATGCATTTGTATGGGAATAAGTGTTGCATGCCGGCTCAATTTTAACGGAACTGATAAAAGATAAGTGATATATGTCTTCAGTAAAGTTATCGAGCAGGTCAAGCACTACAATTTTTTCAAAGACAATATCTTCTTATCTCTTATCAGTTCCGCGAAAAGTCATCAGAAAGAATCGCGTTTTTTCGCGAAACTGATAAGAGATAACGGTTTAGAGAGGTAAAAAACCACATAGAATTATCAAAACACAGTATATCCCATATGTTTATTTCCATACAAAATATATTGGGGTCTGGCCAGACCCGAGGAGTGTGGAATAGGGTGTAGTTTTTGTAAATCCTTTTTTCATCCTTTTTTTTGTTCTGTAAGGATAATGTTTTATTTCATAAATCGGTAGCCAATAAAATTTTAGGAGGCTTCCCGAGAGCACAAGTCGCTAGCTTAACTAGAAATATGTTAAATTAACGTTTGAAAACGAAATATGTCTGGCCAGACCCAGGGGTGTGGATTTGGGTTAAGTGTTAACAAGGGTTTTCAGCTCCTTACTGAGGAGTCCTCAGTCGGAGGCTTATAATAGGAAATTGATAAGCTTTCGTTCCGATTTTCGCGAATTTGTTTGTTTGTTAACGAAAACGAACGAAAATTGGATATTGTTTGGCGATTGCGAACGAAAACGAAATTTTTTTTTCCCGAACGAAAACGGACGAAAATGAGATTTCGTTTGGAGATTGCAAATGAAAACGAAAAATATGAATTCTTAGCGAACGAAGAAAAACGAATTTTCGCATATCTGTGACGAACGCAAACGAAAACGAAAATTGAATTTTATTAGCGAACGAAAACGAAAGCAAAAATGTCCATTCGTTTACACCTTTACTTCAATAATAATAAAGACTCAGACAAACTGTTTCAATTGAATAGAGTGGTCCATGGAAAATGAACCCATTTCAATTTCCACATAGTTTCACAATGGTGACTTTTGTCATTTTGAACCACATCAACTTCACGTAATATTACAAGTGGCGGTAAAAAATTTCATTTATCGAAAGAGCAAGTACATAACTTAGAAATGAAAATGCGAATGATTTGTATTTATTCATCGAATTTATTGCATTGCGACAATTTTTATGCACAAACTAATCAATGTGAACGAGATCTATTGGGCAGAAGCTTCCTGCGGCTTCGGCCCATCTTTGATCAAAAGCCTTTTTTCCGGGTGTTTGTCGAGTTCTAATTCAATTCGTGTTATTGACCAGTTGGTATCGTCGTTTGCTTTCGGTATCGCCCACAAGTGCATTTTTCCTATGGGAGAAACACATCATATTTTGAAACCGCATTCAAATTAATCTACATTTTTGTAGCTACCTTGGTCGTTGGGCCCCTCTACATTCACTTGAAACTGTGCCTGTTCTGATGTTAGAAAATTCTTTGTATCGCTAAGCCGAAAGCCCTTCTGTTTGATCGGCTCACCTAACAAACTGATTGCACCTGTTTTAAAAATGAAAAATGAATAAAAAAAACTTTCAATTACCGGCCAAATTTTAAATCCAAGTTCAGACAATAGAATTCACATTGCCACAAACCATGATGAGTTCGTAATATTTTGAACGCTTCTTTAAAGTAATCCGAATTGGCGATATCATCTAGTTGTTTCAATTGCAAATACATAATACCGCTGACTCCAGCAAAGGCGATTCCAATTGCGGTATTTACCAATGTTTTCATCCGTGGCAGTCCCATGGTGTTCGGTTAATTTCAATTCTATCGCTATTTACAGTCGTACAAACTATTATTATTTTCAACAAATGTGTTGTTGACACTCCGTCAAATTAGCATCTATTCAACCGTTAATTTTCTCTCTGAATAACATTCCAATTCCTTGAATGGTAATGGCAAACATAGAGCAAAGATGAAATATTAAATGCCTTTAGTTCCTACTGTCATGTGTTAGACATTGTTGACACATTTCAAAAGCGATTTTAACCTCAAATTCGGTGTACTTATTTTCAGTTCTTCGACGATTTCAGTGCTCGTACACAAATTTACCATTTTTCTGTGACTTAAGTCGCGAAAATATTATTTCAAAACAGAGTTAAATGTAAATAAGGAGAATTATGAACGTACAAATGTTCAATAGTCGACTTTTAACAGTGGGTCAACGATTTTCCTGTTTATTATTGAGTCGAAACTATGCAAAACCAGGTATATAACCACAAAGATTATCATTTTGAATACTCCTAGTACTTTTTTTTTCTATAGAATTTGTTTGAACCGATTTCCAAAATAATTGTTTTTGATTTTTTTTCAGCGAAAAAGACCGCGGCCGCAGCGACTAAGACGAAAGTTGGCAAAGCGGGTCCCATCGTTGACAAGATTACATTTCCAGCGGAAAAAGATACAAACAAACTGGTGAACTATGTGTGTGGCAGTAATATTTACACCGAAGGCGAAGACATTAAGGTATGTTGGTGTCGATCTTATGAATCTATTGCAATATTCATGTATGCTTATCCCATCAAATATAAATGTATTTAATTTCAGCTGAAACCTGAATCCGAATACCCTGACTGGCTGTGGGAAATTCATACTGGTCCACCGAAAAAATTGGAAGAGCTCGATCCAAACACGAAGGCATATTGGCGACGTGTTCGAAAAATGACCTGCCGTCAAAATAATAGATTAGAAACAACTAAGAGACGGCATTTATATTAATCAGATTGCATTTAATTTATGAACAGAATAATTAGAATAAATCGGGTCGACAAATTTAAATGACACTGTTATAAGTTTTATGCTTTCTTCGTTTGTTTTTCGTTATTTCTGTAGTGAGTCGACATTTCGACAACAGTCTTTACTATTTAAAAAAAAATGACATCTTACGATAATGCCAATATTTCGTCGAATATTCTGTACTGAACCATGAATAGTTCAATTCTCTGTTCAAAACTGTGCCAAGACGAAAATGTGACGAAATATTGGAATTGGAATTTTATTCGTAGCAATACTTCTAGTTTCTGTCATATTGATTGAATATTTTCTATATTCGAAATTGAATCATGATGGTAAAATTGAAATTCGAAGGCATTAAATCTGTGGAAAACTTTGTTTCAAAATATTCTGACTCAAATTCTCGCTTGTTAATACTGAAGTTACTTACAAATTTATTTGTTGAAGAAATCGAAACTTTTTGCACAGACTCGGTTCGTAAATTTATTACATTTGGTAATAGTTCAACCGCATTCAAGAAATTCCGAATATTGAACGACGATTCTACACCAAGCGGGACAAAATTTGCAAGTGACCTCTCCGATTTCGCTCAAACTTGGTGTATAAACTTCTTATGGGCAAAAACTCGCAAAGCCAAAAAATTAGGGTGACCTTCTCCACCTGGTTAAAAATTAGAGTGACCCAAACATTGAAAAAAACGAACAATGGTACTTTTTGACATTTTTACACTAGAAAAGTGTGGTACAAACTTTCAAAACTATATGCATGGTTGGATAGATAATCGATGGGGCTACAAAAAAGTCCACTACAAAGTCTGGAATATTTCGCGCAATTCTACATTTCGGCATATTATCGTGCTACATATATTTGAAGCGGAGGTAAGGAGGATTTTTTTCGATTTGATATGGGGGGAGGGAGGGAGGATATAAAATATGAAATCAATTTGGGCGTATAAATGTGGTATTTGGTATATTTTGGTGCATTATTTTTGATGAAAACATCTGTTAATGGTAATTGTAATGTTTACTCAAATATTTTCCAAGTTTCTTTGTTAATTCCATTAGTTTAATATCATTATTCAATTGTTCAACTTGGATTGTTCAAACTACAGAATCCGAGCTAATTCAAGTTCAACGAAACTCAATACTTGGTGTTTTTGGAGCAAAAATTGCCGCTTCTAATAATTTCAAGTCAAGATATATCAATCAATCTGCTTTCAACGCTAAAATTGCGATCCGAAGATAAATTATGGCTTTTTTTCATGGCAGAAAGAGGTCAGTGTGTTGAGAAGTTGGAGAATTTTGGCCAAAAATTTTGATTCGCTTACCAAAGATAAAATCAAATTCCACGACCGTATTTTAAAAACACTAATTCAAATACCAAATTCGATGATCACGGAGGAGTGTTATGATCAAGTGATCCAAGGAGGTGATAGCGTTTATTCTAAAATCGATTTAGTGTCACAATGGTGCACAAAAATTGCAAAACCGCTACTAAAACCATACATTGCCAATAAAACGGCATTTCATTTCATGTCGGATTTTATATTGATCATTTTTGAAAGTCCGAAATGGCGGGAATATCGAAAAAATTCTCGAAGCAAATTTGGAACAAGGGAAACCGGCTTAAATGGTTCGCATCGGCATCGAACTCTGTCATTGAGCACTGTCGTCATTTTTAGGTAAAAATAATACACCGAAAAAAGAATGTCAAGAACTAGATAAATTCGCACAAATAAAAAACAATTTGTCGTAAAATCAAAATAAAAATCTTGTTTTTGTTTATATACGTAAAACACTTGGCAAACAAATATGGGCGAACTCGGTGTGCGGATCGAGTAAAGGTGTTTTGATTTTGTTCTGCAAAAAAGGTCAAATATTGGCAATAGATTTTATTCATTTACCCATCATTATGAGTAAACAAACAAAAGCTGAAAATAGCATGGGCAGTGTGCCACCCAGATTGAAACCAGAACAATTCTCTAGAAGAAATTTCTGTTTTATTTTTGTCTGTATTGTCTTAGAAAATATGGAATTTAAGGACACACACGAAATGAATTAAGGTTGAATGACTGCACGGTGGCCTACTGAATTTCACATAAAATTATCCGCCATCGCCGTCGATTGTCACAGTTGATTTTAAACAATCGTTTTGTAATAAACGAATTGCTTTTTTTGGAATATGAGTAAATCGGGGGCTCTGCTCATCACTTTGTTCGCGCTTAGTGCACAGGTTCATGAAGGTAAGTAAAATTAACTGATATGAAAGTAATAAAGAAAAAAAAGAAAAATTTACAAGAAAAAAAAAATGAAAAAGAAATGAAATACTTTCACACAAAAAAAAATCTGTCTAAAATTTGAAAGAACGTGTGAAGGCTTTATACCATTTGCACCATTTGTGCTTTTTGCAATAATATGGAGCCGCCATGATTATTTACCAATCAAAAGTACTGAAGTACAGTGTATTTGAGTACGTACCTTCGGCACTACTGCTTGAAAGCAAAATGGTATGAAAATCTGCAAGAATTTACGCCTCGTTCTTTGTCTAAAAATCGAGATCCAATCGAAGTTATTCCCACAGAAATGTCAGATTTGAACCTTTCCAAACATTCCTAAATCGTGTTGTTTATTCACAGGTACTGCAACTGTTTGGTTGATAAAAGCAATACCTTCGAATATTCGATGTTCGATTTCATCATTTTTGCAGCGTAACTTTAATGTTAAGTCTGGTTTCGGTGCCAATTGTACGACCAACGCATACGATCCAAAGTTATCGGCTTCGCAAAACTCATCACTTATTCCGATTCTGGTTAGTAATGGCACGAGTACGGAAGTAGAAAAGGAATTGGATCGAGACGGTATTGATTCGCAGAATGGCATCTATGCTCAAATAAATATCGTTGAGAATGGTACCGGAAATAAGAGTCGAGTCAATACAAATCTTTCAACTGTTGAAATACACTCAGTTGATGCGTCTTCGAATAACACCGAAAACGCCGACACAGTTAAAACTATATCGTTGAACAAACTGACCAGTGTCCAAAAAGCACAGTCATTCTTCCAAGTACAACAATCCCCGTCGAACAGCTCATCTGGCTCATGGAGTTCGTCTAGTAGCAGTAGTTCACAATCATCCAACAGCTCAAGCAGTAGCTCACAATCATCACATAGTTCCAGCGGCTCATCATCCAGTTCGAATTCGAACTCAAATAATAGCCAGCAACAAAACGCTTCGAGTGGACAGCAATCGAGTGAAAAGGGAGAGTCAAACAGTCAAAAGAATGGAACAAGTAGTCAAAGTGGTAGTAATAATTCGACAAATGGTATACACTATGGTGATTACGATCAAAAAGATAGTACTGGAAATAAAACAAGCAACTCGCAGAAAGAATCCCAGCAATCATCACAAGGAGAACAAACTCGAAGCTCAGGATCCAGCGAAAACTCGAACAGTCAGAATAGCTCTCCATCCCAACATAGTGGATATTCCTATTCTGGATCTCAGTCAACGCGAAGTAGATCGCAGAGCTCCCAAGGAAATATCCAAAATGACGGAAACACTGGTGCCAATAATCAATGGTCAGTTTCATGGTCACCACAATGGGGTAATTCAAATGGCCAGCAAAATGGACAAGGCCAAAAAGAATCTGGAGCAAATGGCGACTCTTCGAATAAATCAAGCAGCTCAAATGGTTCAACTAGCTCGAATGGAAATTCATCAAGCTCATCATCTAGCAACAACGAATCGCAATCCAACCAAGGATCTTCACAGAAAGAAAGTTCGAACAGCAACAACAACAACATAAATAGTAACAGCAACAGCAACAATAGCAGCAGCAGTAACAGCCAAAATAATCAATCTTTGTCCGGTTCGTCTGCAACTGCAGGCAACGCAAACTCAACTGGAAACACTGGATCTCAAGTAAATTGTCCAGTATCGAATGCCGGATCTTCGAGTCAAAATTCAAACTCTGATCAGAACAAAATTGTGTGGCGTTTCGAGTGTAGCTTCCGCGGCCAAACATTCCGTCATCCAACCGATTGTTCGAAATTTTACTATTGCGGAGTCAATGGTGTGAATAGCTTGCAGTGCCCATCACCATTGGTTTTCGACATCGATTTGAAAAAATGTAACTGGCCAAGAAACGTAGACTGTAGCCGATCATCAGCAAAAGGACAATTTTCATTCATAATTTCGAGTTCGGGCGCTCACGGAAGTGGTTCACCATCTAGCCAAAGTAATCAAAGCTCATCAAACAGTGGATGTTCTTCCGGATCGGAAGGCACTAGCAATCAAAATGGAGGTAATGATATCAATGCAAATGAATGCAAACATATAATGAGGCATCTTTGTCATAGGTTCAAGCGGTTTGATTGTCAATGTTGGCGGATCAAATGGTTTGCTTAACATTGTACCAGGCAGTCAAAATAATCAAAACACCAATGGAGGTAATTATGGCAATTTTGTTGAAACAAAACGTGTGTTGATATAACTTTATTACAGATTTGATTGGTGACATACTAAATCTTTTGGGCTTAGGAGGATCAAACGGTCTGATCAATGTAGGCCTAGGTGGTCAAAATTCGGGATCAAATCAAGGAAACTCCAATGGTCATCATTCTTCTCAAAATAGTGGATCTTCGTCTTCTGGCTCCAATAATGGTTTGCTCAATCTCGCTCTAGGTGGATCAGGTCAAAACAATGGACACTCAAACGGCGGTTCATTAATATCTCTTAACCAAGGTGGCCAAAATTCTGGAAGCTTACTCAATGTTGGCATTGGAGGTAGCAGCGGCAATGGCAATCAAAATAAACCAAACACCAACGGAGGTAGTGCATATGAACATTTTTAATGATTATTTTCTTTCAACGCTCAATATTGAATATCGATAGGAAAATGATTCCAAGTGTTTACATTTTCAAACTCATATTCATTTACAATTTTTTTTTATAGGATCTAATGGTGGTTTACTGAATATCGGATCAGGAATTAATGTTGGTCTCGGTGGAAATAATCAAGGTAGTAGCCAAGGAAGTCAACACTCAGGCG